TGGGATTACAGGCTTGAGCCACCGCGCCCGGCCAACTTTTGTATTTTTAGTAGAGATGGGGTTTTACCATATTGATCAGGCTGGTCTTGAACTCCTGACCTCATGATCCACCTGCCTTGGTCTCCCAAAGTGCTGGGATTACAGGCATGAGCTACCACACCCAGCCAGCAAATATAACAAAATACTAATTGTCAGGTCTGTGGTGACCTGACAGTATATGGGTATTCAATATACAACTCTTATCAACTTCTCAGTTACATTTACAAATATATGTAATAGAATGTTGCGGTGCAGGGAGCATAGTCAGCGGCCCAAGGATGTCCAGCCTGGCATAGACCCTCCCTGGAGGCTGCACATACTCTCCTTGACAGTTCTGAAGCTCCAGTGGAGTTAAGCCATTCTCGCTGAGGGCAGGATGCTCTTGCTGGCACCCAGCAGCCAGGCCTGAGACTCAGCGGGGGCCTAGCAAAGGTTTATTTGAGAAACATGTCATCTCCCCATGTGAGTCCTGTGGCCCCTATTGGCCTGGAAAACTTGGAGTCAAACAAGCCCAGCATGTGCAGACAGAAGCCAAGCTTCTGTGAGCAGTGCAGGCGTGCTTCATCTTCTGAGTGGTGTCACGGGTAAGGAATGTTGCAAGGTTGAGGAGTGCTTGGTGAGACCTTGCATTGCAGTCAGGGAACAGCTCCTCTGTTAGCATTTTAGCCCCAGTGGAGCCTGTGGGGGCCTGACTGAAAGGTATGGACTTTGTCCTGGGCCACTTAGGAGCCATGGAAAGTCTCTAGGAGGTGGTAGTACATGGGGTCTTTCAGGTTTTACAAATCTCCAGTGGACCAGAGGGCAAGAGCAAGGCAGTGCAGTTGGCAGGGGAGCCAGAGGGAAGGTTCGGGTGGAGACAGGATGGGGGCGTTTCATCCAAGCCTGCAATGCTGGCAAGGGCTGGGGTTCTGGAGTAGTAGTAGACACCTGAGGTGATGGGTGAAGGGCATCTCATAGGCCAGGCACTGGAGCTCTGGGAGGTAGTGGCCCCTGCGGGGACGCCTTAGCTACAGAGCCCTGCTGGCTGCCTGCCCGCCCACCCACTCCACTCAAGAATGGGAGTGGAAATGACTCCACACAGTCATTTGTTTAGCTGTTTGTATTTTCTGGGTTTATTTCCCCTTGTTCCAAGCTCTAAGTCTCAAGCCTATTTTACTCCACCTCCATAGCCTGCACGGTTTCCTCCACTAGCTCCAGAGTTAGTGGCTTCACTGTCTGGGTCAGGACAGCTGTGGTTCCAGGCACAAAGTGGTAGTGACCAGACCTGGGAGGGAGGAGGGACAGCTTCTGAACATGAGCCTGTCATGTGGCCCATCCCCTTCTTGCAGCCCCCATCTCTTCTGCTATGGCTCCACACATTCCTGTGGTCCCCCATCTCCAGCTCTCACCTTTTCACGGGTTCTGTGGGCGAGCTCAGTGTCCTCAGTAGTTTGGCGCCTGACTTCATGATCACACATGCGTCCACATTGCCCCCGGAGCCCAGGTCACCCAAGATTCCTGCGGTGATGGCTTCCACCAGCAGCCCCTGAGCAGCCTCCAGCTGCAGTGATGGGTGTGTGAGGCCTAATGGGCCCTCTGCTGTTAATTTAGGCTATAGCTTGGGGACTTGCCTGTCCACTCACCCAATCTGGTCTTGCCCCCCAAACCCCCACTGTTTCTCCCTCGGAGCCTTAGCTACCTTTGGGGAGACATACATCACCTGCTTCTATCCTAGCCCAAACAAAATCTAGGCTCTAGACATTGATATAAATAGGACCCTACTGGTCCTTCCCTCCACCCTCGGTTCCAAAAGATCTTCTGTGAGCTTCGATTTCTCCCAGGCATCCAAGTTTGGTATTGGACGGTGTGATGTAGGGATCAAACTTCTCTGCTCTTACTCCACACACCCTTCAGTGGTCACCTCCTCCGACGAGCCTTCCCCCACCTCCACACTGGGTCAGGGTCCTGTGCTTCCCCAGCTCCCAGGTGCACATCCCACCAGGGACCATATAGTGGGGAACAGAGGCTGCTCACCGTCATGTTCGGCTGGAACCGGTCTTCTAGCACCGCCAGGGCAGCGTCCTGGCCAGAGCCTGAAGGCAGGAGAAGCATTGAAGTCAACGGCTGCCACCCGGTTTGGAGTAGAAGCCTGAGGCCAAGGTCACAGGGGAAGGGTTCGAGGAGAAGGGACCGAAGTGCTCACCCAGGGCCGTGAAGAGCATACGGCTGTAGGAGCCATGGGGATGTACACCGTAGAGCTGCGGTCCAGTCAGATCTACGCCGCCCACGATCAGCGATGCACCCACGTGGCCCTGGTACCTGCTTGTGGATGGGCGGAGTCGGCCACAAGCGGGTCCCAGGCCTCGACCCTCTATGCCCCACCCGTGGGTGCTATCCCCGCCCCTTCATGTGGCCTGGAGCTGATATCGTCTCTTCCTGTAACCCAGCTTCTCTTAGTCCGGCCTCTTCCGGTCACCTGGCCCGTCGCGACCCCGCCCTTTTGTTCCGCCTTTTTATTGGCCCCGCCCCTGCAACGGCCCCTCGCGGGGTCCTGTCAGCCTCGCCCCCGCACCGGAAGAGCGTCTGGCGCAGGATGCGGGTGACCGTGGGCACGCGGGGTTCGCGGCCCGTAGATAGCGCGTGTAGCTCCATCTTGGACGCCACCATCCGTGTAATCATCTCGGCGTCCGCGGCTACTCCAGCCCCACAGCAGCTGAGGGGAAAAGGGAGGATTGGCGTGGGCAGGGCTGGGACATGCGGAGACCGGAGTGGGAACGAGGGGACGGTTCTTTTTTGCGTGCCGGAACTAGGCTAGGGGAGTCTCACTAGATTTTGGGTGCGATGAAATGGATCTTCTCGCAGCTCTTGTCCGCCACGACAGAATCATTAGTGGCTCGCGTGTCGGCGCCCAGAATGACCCCGTCCTGGGGGGGAGGGGGACCACAGCCTCAGTGCCTGCTCGATGCTCCCGACACCCCTCCACTCCCCCGTCCCTCCCCTCGGCTTACTTGGAACACAAGGCCCGCGATGGTGGTCCCGGTCTTGCGTGCATGAGGGACCTTGAGTCCCGGGAGGACGCTTTTCAAGGACGCATTTCTGGAAACGGAGGAGGGCGCCCAGGCTTCAGCTCTACTTCCAAGACCCCTGTTGCTTCCCCTAACCCGGTCCTAGTCTCCCTCATCTTCTGGTGTAAGCCTGGAACCCGTCGCCGAACACACCCTCCCCCACCTCCAACCAGGAAAAAGGGCCACAACCAAGCAGAGGCGGCTTGGGAGTGACCCTCCCCCTTCACCTTTGGCAGTTCTCGAAGGAGAAGCCCCCTCGGGTCTCCAGGGCTGGCTCCAGCATCTTGGGGCAGGCAGAGCGGATTAGGGGTCGCGGGCAGATGGGTGGGTCAGACAAGTGGGGCCAGTGAGGAGCTGAAAAGTCCTCTGCTAGGCTTCACGTCTGTCCTTTCTGCTTTCACTTTCGTTTTTACCCTTCCTTAAAGTCCCCTGGCGGTTTTCTGCATCTTCTCTTTCACTTTCCGCTTCACGTGTGGCTCTGAGCATTTTGGGTACGGGATGATGTCCCTTGCTGGACCCTTTGTGCTGCTCATTGGGTCCTCTGTTGAACAGAGGGACAAGTCTCTTCCCTTCTGGACATTGTTCAGCTTCTCCTCCTCCTCCATCTGAGCCCCCTGCTCTTACCCCAGCCTCAACTCTGATTTCCAGTCTCAACACCCTAAGGCTGTCGAGCCTTGGCCAGGCCTCTGCATTGTTGCTGGCTACCCAGCAGCATCAGGCATGGCTGACTTTTGTTCCTTGTCACCTTTCTTCCAACTCTTGCCTCTTTCGTTGCCTTTACTCCTCTTCGAAACCTCAAACAGAGGCTCAGTCAGCCGCAGGGATACTGGTCTTTCCATCTTCCCTGTCTCAGGTGCCATCTTCCCTCTCTCAAGAGGGGCACCGTGGCTGCTGGTTTCCACTCACGGCCAAGCCTTGTTATTTCACCTCCCAGTGACCTCTTTTTCGTACACGTCTTTCTTCTAGCACTTCTCATGTCAGCTAGCATCTTCTCCCACACGGACATTGCCCTGTCCTCCCTGGTTACTTCGCAATTCTTGCCCCTCATCTCAGGCTACACTTTACCCTGCAGAGAGAGAGTCTTTCTAAATTGGAAATCTGGCACACTCTGGTTTAAACCCTTCAACAGGCCGGGCCTGGTGGCTCACCACGGTAATCCCAGCACTTTGGAAGCCCAGGAGTTCCGAGGCCACAGTGAGCCACGGATCACACCATTGTACTCCAGCCTGGGCAATAGACCCTGTCTCAAAGCGGGGAAAAAAAAGATTTGGGTGCTCGCTTTGGCAGCACATATACTAAAATTGGAACGGGACCGGGCGTGGTGGCTCATGCCTGTAATCCCAGCACTTTGGGAGGCCGAGGCGGGTGGATCACGAGGTCAAGAGATCGAGACCTTCCTGGTCAACATGGTGAAACCCCGTCTCTACTAAAAATACAAAAAATTAGCTGGGCATGGTGGCACGTGCCTGTAAACCCAGCTACTCAGGAGGCTGAGGCAGGAG